AAAAAAATGCTCAAATCTATTTCATATATATTTTTTAGTTTTATATATATCAGATTCAAAGTTTCATTCCTCAATGATGTTAAAAAGAATCATCTCTATATTGTAAATATCAACCATATGCAATTAATAGCATTCTTTACTGTTATATTATTATTTTTATTGTTACTTATTGTTGAAAGCAGCCATGTCAAATGAATACTCTTATTTTTGTTTTGGTCAAAAGCTAAAATAATGCTCATAAATAAATAGGCCTATCAACCATGCAATTAATGGCATTCGGTACCGTTACTTATTGTTGAATGCTGCTACAAAAAATAAATGCTCTTATTTCAGTTTTGTACAAAAGTTCCAAATATTGCTCATATTTTGAAATCTTTTTCTAATTTTTTATATGTTTAAAACGTTTCATTGCTCAATAGTTACAGAAAATTACCACTATATTGTAAATAAAAAATTTCAACCTTGTACAATTCTTTATTTGCTCAATTCTTTTCCTCTACACTACAGCACATTATCTTAATTCTTTTAGATATGTGATGCATTTATTATGTTTAGTTTCTTTGATATAAATATTCCTCCAATGTTGGAGGGTGTACATTAAAAAATTCTGTAATAACTCCACCATAGCAACAAGTATGGCAGTTGGTGAGAATTGCACCAACTGCGTACAATTTGCCAACAGGCTGAAGGTAAAGTTTTAAATTTTTTTTGAAGTCAAGAAAAGCAAAAGTTTGTACAATTTTTCCAAAGGCCCACTCTACACTTTCTCGGACCCGAGACATTTCAGAATTAAATGCGTGCTGCTCTGGTGTAATGTTTGCACCTCGAAATGGACACTGAAGTTGGGGGCGGATGGGGTATGCAGGGTCACCATAAATACAAAATCGCCCATCAACATCTTGTGGTAGCTGTTGCAGCTGTTGAAGAAGACCACTCTCTTTCAAAAGGGCACAGTCGTGGCGCTTGCCTTCCATTGGGCCATACAAACTGCATATAATCCCATTTGGGATCACAACGCTCTGGAATTTAATTGCGTGTGTCCTTTTGTGTCCATTGTAGCATGTCCGTTGTAGAAATGTAGGTCTACTTATAGGTCTAACGGTGCCATCCACAAAACCAATACACTTATTTAATGGTGCACCCTGTGAAACAATCGCCTCAGAATACTGCATGAGATGATCCATGTCCATCCATGGTTGATCTAGATTATGAATCAAGTGACTATAATTGTCATATATGTGGTCCACTGTTTCATTCACGATTACAGATAACTGACTTGTACATCTTCCAAACACATTTTCAAGGTCCACTAATCTGTTTGGATATGACAGCCTCTTTAGTAATACACATAAAGCCTCTCTTCCCGAAGTTACTGTTCTGTCAGCAAATATCATTCTGTCTGGAAGTTGAAGAAGTCGAACCAACCGATCGATATCTTCCCTCTGAAAACTATAATATTTTCCGAGAAGTTTAATATACCAGTACATGTCCATTATGCAATTAAATAAATGTCACTCTTAGTATCACATTATTAAGTCACTTTATTTTATAGAAGAGTGTACCTGGCATGATAAAGCATGAGAGGGGAAGAATTGAAATTTACAAATGTAAGTTAATGCACAAAATAAGTCTTAAAAGTATAAGCATGTTAATAAGTAGTTTGGTGGTAATACTACTAGTAGTACTAGTACAGTATGACTACTGCATGCACCAGTAGTATGATACTGCAATTGCATATTATTGTTTCTATTATTATTTTATTTCATTATAACCTTCTTCTTTTTTATCATTGTATTTTAAGTTTTAACATGTATCCTCTGTATTTATCCAACCTTTGGTTTGAAATGTGATGTAATAAAAATATATAAATTAATCAATTAATTAGACTAAAAGCTGGTGTCTGAAAAAAAAAAAGACAGTGGGGAAAATGGGCTTACCGGAATTGTTTCCACACTTGCTCATCAGTCATCGAAGTGAGATCGATTCTAGGAATATTCTGATTAAATTTGGTTTTGCGTGTGGCATCATCCAACATCAGCATATCTATCAAGTCTGTGTCATTTTCTTGTATCGCTAGATGTAACAACTCGCGGTCGGACATGTTGTTTTGAGACTACACCGCCCCCACGTTCACGAAGAGCCGAAGCGAAAAGTGGGTCATGCTTGTACGCAAACGTGAACGTGATGACTCGTATGTACACGTACACGTTCAACGTCCTGCCGAAACTCTCTATTTCTAATGAACTGGCAGGAGTGGAGAGAGTAGGGCCGGATGTTTCTGAACAACTGTCAAAACTAATCAACAGTATCTTGCAAGAGAGACTACAAGATGACAAAGTAAAAGACCTCATGGTTAAGCACATGAGGCCTGGGAATGTGAATGGTCTTGCAGTACCGCGTGTAAATCCAGAAATCTGGTCGGCACTGGAGAGCAAAATTAGGTCTTCGGACTTAAAAAACTCGTCAATGCACAAGAGTGCATTCTGAAGGCAATGGTCCCGCTAATTATGCTTTTAAATAAAGCAGATGTAGAGCGAGATGAGATAAATGCTAAAAGCATTGTCGAGTTGGTTGAGGTTGAGTTACGTGCCCACCCTTCCCGTCCCTGTGGGTTATAACCTGATGTGCACATTTTCTCTCAAAACTGAGCATGCGCAAGCATATTCTATCTCACGTAAACCCTATGTTCCTGAAGACTCGACAGAATCTCAGTCAAACTTCAACTTACAGGTAAGTCTCGTTTAACTTCTTAATTCTTGTCCATGTTATCATCCGTTATACTTTGAAGGAAAAGGAGGGGCAAATGGCCATTCAAAGTGCAATAGCTGTTTTTAATAGACCAACAACTATCTATTTCAGCTTGGATACATCCCCTCCCCTTAATAAAAAGGCGTATCTTCACAGGCAAGATGATAAGAATGTTGATTTTTTACACGAAAGCGTTATTTGACTTTCTCTTGGCTAAATAATTGTTCTTATGTCATACAGTTGAATCTCAATAATCGTAAAGGTGGTCACAATTTTTTAAGAGCACTCACTTCATCAGTTATGTGATTCAAATAAATTCAGGGGGGTCCTGGGAGGAGATTGTCGCAAAAAGAGGGGGACGCTTTCACAGAATCAAAATGATCGAAGATCATCCAACCGCTTCATCTGTCAAAACAATGTTCTACCTCACACGTCAGGAACTCAGGAGTAACATGAGATGGGGAAACCCAGCTGCTAGTCGGTGTGATCCTAGCTGTGCTATCAGTCAGACGCATTTCTTACCTCTGGTCTCTGAGTCAATTGCTTTTTTATATTTATCTAGTTTCTATATTGGATTATTATTCCCTTACATATTTAGTGCCTTGTCTACCGTGTTTTGTGGATAATTTCTTTATTTTACTTTGTTTACTTGGACGGTCAACAATATAGACGCAAACTTTACCAAAATAGCCAGTGCTATGGCCAATATGAGTGAGGCATGGTTGGTGATGAGCAAGGCTCACTCCAGTGGGGTACACTCTGTGGCCCCTCAGAAAAATTTCACCAAACCTTTGTCAAAAGATATTACGAAGAAACTATATGAGCATCACCTACGACCAAAAAATTGCGATGCCATGGTGGTCCCCTTGGTGAACAAACAAATCTGGAGTAATGCCAGTAAGGAGTTGAGGGCGAAGGATGCCAGGATGTGTGACATCCAGAGGGCTATTGTCAAAGCTTGTGGCATCTTTGCAAATGTAGTAGCTAACAAACTCCTGGATAATAATGACAGAAAAACAGCCAAAGATGCCTGTGATGGCATTGCTCTGCTGGGATCGGCTCATTTGGAGCTCTGTATGAGGCGTAATGACAGAATATATGGTAATGCAATTGTCCAGCAGTTTGTGCAGCTTTTTACACGATTTCTGAAAGTGTAGACTGACCATTTATGACGTGTGTTTGATTTAATAATGATGAAAATTTTTATTTATTATACCCCTTTTAATTCTGTTAACTTTGTGATTTCAATTGATATAGGTAGGGAAACTGGGTTTTTAAGTTATAACTTAATGGATAAGATAAGTATCATTGTTATAGTTATAATGATTTTTAATTTTTGATTATCAATTTATCAACAAACCTAATTATAAATTTTACATGCAGTTACACGTCTATGGTACTGCTTTATTTTTCATTAAATCCTATTGCATATTCATTTTTTTTAAAATATTTCTAGCAATGGTATTAATGATAACAACTTTTCAACTTAAATTGTAGTTGATGGAAAAACTCCCCACACTGAGAATGGTTTTTAAGGATTCAAATACAAGCCTCAATTTTCCAAAAATACAGAAGCTTCTGAAAGCAGAATTCTCTGCGCCTCAGTCATCCAGGCGCAGAGAAGAAGAGCATACTTATGGACAGTTCTTGAGATATCTGAGAGAAGTGGCAGGTAATAATAAAGTGTATCATACAATAAAAATGTGATTACTAGTAAGTGAGGAGCAAATGGTTTCCCAATAAAATAACCTGTGCACAGTAGATAAGTACAACCTATAACCTCACGATGAGACCGGTCAGACAACATTTAATGGTCAACAACATATATATATATATATATATATATATATATATATATATATGAAGATTATATTTAATAGTGTACTTTTTCTTTCTCAGCAGGTAGAAGAAAGAGTGTAACTTTAGGACATGTTCTGGCATTCTGCACTGGTGTAAGGGAAATCCCCTCACTGGGATTTCCAAGTGATATAAGTCTGACATTTTCACTTGCAACAGATTCCATGTTACCAACGGCAAGCACATGTATCATGCAAATGAATTTGAAGATACCAGCTCTGGGAGTGGAGAGGCCCCCCAGGAATTCATTTACAATTTGTGGGACTTGGCTTTTTCTAACACTTTTTTTGGGCTATGTTAAAGAGACATATCAAATCATCTTTTTGCCACAAAGTATTATGCCCAAACTCAATGAACTTGCAATCAGGAGGTTGGAGTTCAATTGAATGAGTCCACGTGAAAATAGTGCAACAGTAAGCAAAGCTTAGTCTGAGATGCCTTTGAGAAAGTATTTTTATGAAAGAAATCAGAAATACTGAGAGCCTGCCTTAAGATTTTACATACTGAAAGAGTTTGAGTGTTATTTGAGATGTATGTTAGTACTAGATTGTATTTTTGATGAGTTGAAAAATTTTGTATGCTAGCTGTTTATCCAATTGAAAAGTACAGTGCACTTAGACATTAAGCACTATTTTGTTTGGATGTACAAGTGCTCAGTTTTTTATGAAAAATAAATATTTTATGAACTGTTTACCATAGCCAAAAGTGGTGAAAAGAGCTGTATGGAGGTATGTACAGACGGGGGCCATGCAGGCATCAACTTCAGAAGAGTTAAGCAGAGTAGCGAAAGCAAGAAACCCTGGGGTTAATGTGATTTACATCTCAAAAGCATCCATAGATGAAAATGAAAAATTGATGAAAAAATCTTGGGGAAAATGTGTTTGGCATTCCTAACACCCACAAGATCCATTCTGTGAAGGCATCAGGGCCGGGATATGTACAGGTATCAGAAACATCCAATGGTAAGTATATGTCCATCAGGAGCTTATGAGGGACAAATTCTGCACAGGTGTGCACAACGAACTGCACGATCAGTTCTAGTAACGTATTTTAAAGCTCATATCTCAATGTCTGTAGTGGACATGTATTTACAGTTTAAAGTCTGCCTCCTGTTGCTTACTTTGTATATATTCACGCCCTACTCATTGAGTGGGTAGTTTTTGATCTTTCTCTGTAGATAATAAATTAATAGTTGTTCAACTCCAATTTTTTCACTGAACCGCATAATGACATTTTATGGTGCCGTGACCAGGATAACTATGGCTGCAGAGAAAAATCAGATACTCCGGTTGGTGAACCGAGCCCAGCTAACGAAGCTGTTTCAACGAGCATCAATTTTGATGTCTGCTGAGCTGTCCGTAGAAAATGTGGAAACAATGGACTTAACATACGAACTTTCTCTGAACCGCATATTGACAAACTGCATATTATATTTAAGGACAACAGTTATGGCAGTGGTTCGGTACATGAGAACAATGTATGGTAGGGTTAGAAAGGTTAGGTCTGGACAGGGAAGAAGACACTTTACTGCTAGGCAACAGTGGGTGATGGAGAGGTTTTCCTTCTTGGAAAAGCATATGTCCATCCACAACTAGGCTTGGTTAGTCCAAGATCTTGTTAATTATGTACAGCAACACTAAGCGAAATAATATCCAATTCTCATTATTACAAAATAACAAACTAAAAAAATAACTTTTATTTTGTATAATATGTTCCTTTAATGTTTTTCACATATTCAATTATTGCCTCCTGGACAAAATGAAGAGGATAACAAAGAAGAGGAAGTCCTTTCAACCAGCAGCACCGAGACCAACAGAAGGAAGACAGATACAGTTGAACAGAACATCCTCAATCTTTGTAAAACTATCAGTGATCAGCAACCTACATCTAGCAGAAAAGCATTTTGCTAGTATTTGGCTTAGAAAGTTGATAACCTGTCTGAGCAGCAGTGGGCGATATTTCAGCAACAGAGCATGGACTTAATTTTAAAAGCAGGCAACCAAGGAGCACAGCTCAATTACAGGCCTGCATCTCATTTCGTTTACTCCTCAACGCCCTCAAATTGACACAACTTTTCTGTCTCCATTGAACACTTCATCCTTAACCATACCCTCTGTCCTAATGCTGCATTCAGAGGGTCCAGGGCAGTCAAGTTCAAGCAATTTTTATAGTGCCACTGTGGGAGACTCAGATATGGTTCAGCCCTTTAATGCAACTCTTAGTGGATGTGCCAGTGATTCTTCCAAATAAAAGGAACCTCCTGTCTTTACACCACACGAAACAAGTCCATCCACTAACAAACAAACTAGTCATGCTTGCATGTTGTTTGTCAAAAAGAGAGGATATTCAGCAGAAGCAACCAGAATCATCATGGCATCATGGAAACAATCCACAAAGAAGGATATCAAACATATATTCAAAGATGGATACAGTATTGTGATGAAAAACAAATTAATCAAGTTTTGCCTTTTGTGAATAATGTCATAGAATTTCTCACTTGTTTATTTGAAAAAGGATTAGGTTACAGTATACTGAGTACAGCATGATTTGCTCTGTCTTCGCTAAGAATCATTTTCTGCTGGAACTCATCTATTAGTAATGTGATTTATGAAAGGCGTGTACACTGTTGGTCTCAAGAGAACACGTTCACAAAAATTTATAAAAAGAAAGTGATCAGAGAGGACAAATTTCAGAATGGGACTGTGAGGTATGATTTGATAAGGCAAGCACAAGGTGACAGTCATTCAACTGTGGACTTTATTTGGTTTCAGTAAACAGTCCCTATTTGGAAAGTAACAAAGTGCATGACGGGACTGCCAGATTTTGTGGTTGCAAAAAGGTTGCAAGCGCAGTGTGACCCAGGCTAAAAGAAACACCCACTGTTTGAAATGTGATGAAATATGTCCAGGTCTTCAACTGACACAACACACATATTTTGGTTCAATTTTACATGACTTTCAATAATACAAATCCTTTGAAATTCTTTAAATTAAAAAAAAAGAATTAATAAGAATTATTATGTGAAAAATCATCTCTAGACACTGGTTTAAAATTTCAGAATACAAACAAAAAAAAAAAAAGAAAAGAAAAAAAATTAATACAAGAAAATGTTATCACTTTCCATCAAAATGGCAATTCCTTGTGATCCCATGAATAATATTTGCCAGTATCTAAATAACTTAAGCTATCAATAATTTTTAATAAACAACCTACAGAGTATTCCACAGTAAAAAGTTTTCCTTCTGGTACATTCTTGTGATATGGCCTGGACAGGTCTGTATCCACTGTCCCTGGGTGCAGTACCACACATATCACTTTGTTCTTGCCACGCCCTAGCTCTATGCTGAGATTCTTGTTGGCCATGTTTAGAGCTGCCTTTGACATCCTATAACTGTACCACCCTCCTAAACCTGACATTAGAAAAAAGTTAATGAAATGAGTTTGAATTAGAATTCACTGCAGCAAAATATCATCTGTTTAAAAGTTTTAAATCCTGACATAATAAACACAGTATATGGTTTGAACATCAGACGTTTGTAAAACATGTTCAGCAAAATGGAGGAGTCACCTTTTAAATTAATGAGGGAGCAGATTTGGGTGATCTGAACAGTCTGTCATTTAAGACTGGTCCTACATGATTCTGTGTAGACCAGTAGACATTTTAGAATCCGTGGATTTAGTGGTCCAACATGATCATCATTCTGTGTTTGCTTGGAAATTAGAGCTCTGATCATATTACCAATGTCATGATGTATCACTGAACCAAACTGAGATGTAATATACAAGTAAAAAAAATATATTGGTATGATTCTCAATGTGGATGAGCACTGAGCCCTAGCTGTCCAAGATCAATTTTACTTTATAAACAAATTGTTTTACATAAAATGCAAGCCAGTTTAGCTCTTGCTAAATATAGACAGAGTTGAGAGCTATCCTTATTCATTTTGATTAAAAATACTGGAATGGTTGTAGTAAAGAATTTTATTTCCCAAATTATGCAGCTTAAGTTGCAATAATAAAAATAGTTTCTTCCAAACCAAAGCTAAAATCAGAATAATTTGCACTCTACTTGGTGTCAATAAACCACTTATATAATCAAGAATAATTAATAGACTGATGAAGATGAAGAGCAAAAAACTCACCATTGTCTGTTATTGATCCAACTTTGGCTGACATATTGACTAGAACTGCCTTATGCTGATTTTTGGGATCTGGATGTTGTGTTCCAATGTTTCCACTTCCCTTCTGCAATAGTGGCATGAAATGTTTGGCCATCACCAAAGGACCCACTGTATTAGTTGAAAATGTGTCTAGTATCCCCTGGAATTTGGAATACGATGTACTAAAACTGATTTATATTTAGAGATGCTCTTCATGCATTTTGAAATTACCCACAGCCATATTTTACCCAACTCAGACCTTCAAGGGGTTCAAAGCCTTCTGCTTAAACTTCAGAAAATAAACTGTATTGATTTGTATTTCATATATTGCAGGTATTTGTTAACCAATTTGCCATATATCCCTGTTAGGGAAAATCCTAGAAATAAAATTTTAACTGTACATTTGTGTCCAGCTCTTATACATACAGCACAAAGTTTTTTGTGTTAGCAATCCTATTTACTGTCAGATTCTAACTCGTGTTGTTTGTGCTTACACATGAAAGACAGGTGCACAAAAATATATTTATTGTTGGGTGATGAATCCGTGTCCGTATCTGTGACATGATTAAAGGGTTGAAAATTAAAATAAACAACTTTAGACTCATTCTTGAAAGTTTCTTCCTCGAAAATGGGCAATATGGTGCGACTAAAACAACGTTTTGCTCAAAATGAAATAATTTTCTTTATGTACACCAAATTTCAAATCACAAGGCTAGCATTATCAAAACAAATAACACCTTGACCCTATCTGATGTTTTATACCTCAAATTATAATAGATTAATTCATGTACCTTTGGAGTTACATCCTTCAAGCTTGTCTCTCCTCTGCCTGACGGGTGCAACAGTCCTGCTGAGTTAATTAATAAATCCAGTTTTCCAAACTTTGCCTGTACCTCACTTGCAACTTGCGCTACATGTTCTTCATTCGTTACATCAAGCCTGTGGATGAAAAGTTTTTCTGAATTTTGTTGGCGCAAATTCTGCAGATTTGACGCATTCTCAGGATTTCTGCAGGTAGCTATGACGATGGAACCTTTGTCAAGCAAGCTTTTACAAAACTGCAATCCCAACCCTCTGCTTGCGCCTTGTACTAAGCTTGTAGACATATCTGCCTTGCAGTGTTGAAACAAGTTTGTATAACACATGGAGTAACCGGAAGTTGATATCGGAAGTAGCAGAAGGCCAATGAAATAACGTCTAGCATTTTAGAGATGTCAAAAACGTCCAATCAAAATACTTGATTAATGCATTTAAAAGGGCGGCCATATTTGATATTGTGTGCAGGGTTTGTGTTTATTTCTTGTAACACCTATGTTGGTTCAGCAGTCTTGCTGTGGATGGTTCCTTTCAAATTTTGAGGTGGGTAGGGTTTTGAGACGTTCTTAAAATGGATACTGTGCGTTGCACATCGTATTTCCAGGACTGTGGTAACAGGAAGACCAAATTCATTGGTCTAGATTGGGTGATTACATTATAACTCTCATCAAAAATGATAAGTACATTATAGGAGTCCAACCACAAATAAAAGTTGTGGGCCAAAGGGGGGGGGATGCAACTTACAGTGTGCGGGAGAGGTATGTTTTAACTATGATAATGTAGTGCTTTTTAACAGTACCACTATTTTCTTTGGAATTGATTACACAATGTTTGCCTGTAGACATATATATTGATCATTAACTGAGACCCCATTCCCATAGACACCATCAGTCTAATTGGATCGACCTAACTCTGAGGGGACTCTTGCTGAATGCAATCAGATTAACACACCTCCTCTTGGCATTAAGTAGAATGTATGCAGAAAACATCAAGATGATACGGGTACTATGGAAACATTCAGTTACAGTAGGCTGATAGTATTTAGGGGAGTCCCTGCAAAGTTGAGGTAGGTCCACATCTAGCCTGATGTTTTCTATGGGAATGGGGTCTTACTGAATTATTAGTATTACTATTAGGCCTTGTTTAGGTTTGATGATAAACTTTATGTCCTTATATATAGAAAATTTAAGGGCAATACTTTTTGGATTTATCTAAGAAATGACAGACTTGTAAAGATCAATCAAGTAATATTTGTTCAGTGACGTGTCCTTTTGGTAAGGTTCATATCTCGTCAACTCTGTGCTGATTTCAAATGTTGCTGTAATGGAATTTATTTCATATCAGGTCTTCATTATATACTTTTATAGAAGTTGATTCTTTGGTAAATTACTGAGGAAATCCATAAGCAATATTTACAATTGTTATAGTTTTTATAATTTGACCAACAGAGAGCTTGGAGCCAGTGTTATTGTCACAGACTGTAGATGATTAATATCTATCACCTGTTACAGGTATATGTTGGACATGGCCAAAAGGGAGAAAGTAGTGCAGACATATGGAAGGCATAGGAATCGTGTCATTACCACAAATGATCTATGGAGCTCTGGAGAAGAACGAGGGAAAACTTTATTCAGTAGTTCTGAAGACTCCTCTTTATCAATTACTGACAGATCCAGGAATGTATCCTCAAGGTACACATAATATAAGTATTGATTGTTGTCCTGGCATTTTTAACAGTTTGGGCAAATTCAAGGATTTGTGCAACATGTAGTTGTTCAAGATGTTGTTAACTTATAAAATTAAGAAACAGTGATGTTGAACAAATTTTAAAATTAAATAAGCATTCCTCTGGAAGATGTATGTTTTTATTGTTCATTGTTTTTGATTTAAAATAAAGTATATTTTCATGGTTAAGTAAGAAGAAAATTACTAACTTATTTTTTGTTCTTGGACAGGTCATTCAATTCTTTCTCTAAAACAAGGTCAGTAGACAAACACAGTGCTAATAAAGAAAACAGGAGCAGAAAGCCTAGGAGGGCAAAAGTTGAAGCTGTTGACAGGCTTTTTGCTCTCACAGTAAGTATATATGTTTCTGTTATAAAGTCGGCATGTCCTTTATTTAATGTTGAGAAAAATAAAATGATGCTTACATCTGTTTATGTAATCATTATCCATGGGGAATATGATGATTGTCCTTTAAAATTAAGTGTTACAAATGAAAGAATCACACAAGAAAGTTAATACATGGCATGTTTATGATTAATTCAGGCATCTTGATTTGAATTTGATGTAAGGATTAGAAAACTACTGCCACAAGGTATCATTCCCCATGTATTTCAGAATGTGTTTAACTGCACTGTGCAACAATTGACTTAGGCACATTTGCTTTGTATTTTAGGACTCTGCAAACAGCTCCCAAAATACATCAAATGTAGGCTGCAGGAAAGCTCTTAGAGATCGAAATGGAATTTTTGACATCAAAAGTGATGAAAAGGTGAGCAAAAAACCTCAAACAGATAAAAGAAAACAACCCAGGAGGGCCAAAAGGACAGAAAACAAGAAAACCAAGAATGCAAAAGGCTCTTCCAAGGAACCAGCAGCATTTAATTTGAAATCAGACACAAGTGACTTGAAAATAGAAGCTTCTCATTTTAATTTCAGCCAGTTTGACAATTACAGTTTGGTTTTATCTGACTCTCCTCTAAAAGAAGGAGAAAAAATATCTGGTCGTGATTCTTTATTGAAAGAACTGAGTGGTATAACAGTGCAGCAAACACCTGACATTGTCACAAGGGGAAAGCCAGCATTGAGAAATGTCACCAGTGTTGAAACCAGCACACCAAATATATACCATAAGGCAAAGCGGACAGATGCTGCTGGTAAAATAAAACCTGAAGAGATCTCATTGATAGAGCATTTTGACTCGAATCCCAACACCCCATCCCAAGAGTCTAAGGAACAGGAATATGCAGAGATATCTGCAGGTGTAGAAAAACTTAGTCTTGGAGATAGTTCGAAAAACAGCAAGGATGTTCGCTCTGGTAACACTTACCAGGTTACAGACAGACAAGAGTTAACCTATGCACTTAGAAAGTGCCAAGTAGTTTTAGACAGGTGTAAAAACCTTACACAGAATGATGAATGTGAAGATGCGAATTGTGAAAGCACAAAGACCTGTGACACTGATGGAATTGGATTGAAAAGCTGTGAAATTATGGTTCAGAAAATAACAGACAGTTTTGTTACACGCAGACGGCGCCCTGCGTGCAAGAGTTCAAATGGTAAACATGCTAGCCTTGATTCAATTGTGGAGCTGTCTTTTGATGCCTCTGCAGACTTATTTGACACAGACACACCTAGTGAACACTCTGATGCTGAGTTAGCAGATCTTCCCAGTCCTAAAGGATGCTACATGTTACGGGGTCAAGGGCCTGTGACGAGGAATAGAAATGTATCCGGCGATTCTATAATTAGTGCCATTTCTGAAATTGAAGAAGAGGAAGAGGTTGAAACAGATGAGGATGAGGAACTTGTTTCTGAAAATGACGATCAAGAGCAAGCTAGTGATGTAGAACAGGGTGAAACTGAGGAGGAAGAAGATAGTAGTGAAGAAGAAGATGAAGATGAGTGCAAGGCTGAGGTAATTTATTGGGATCAAGGAGATTAAAAGATGGAAGTACTTAATGGTCATTAATTACCTTTGGGGAATATAAGCAGTGGTTTGTTAAAAAGTGTTTTCACATATATGTCAATGGGTCTACCTGGTGTGTGTGTGTGTGTGTGTGTGTGTGTGTGTGTGTGTGTGTGTGTGTGTAAAAGAACTGCTTCATCTACAAATTTTTATACAGGAATCTGAAAGTGATGAGGAAGAAGAGGACGGTGAGGAGGAAGAGGAGGATTCGGAATCAAAAGCAGAGTCAGATTTAGAAAATCCTAACAACACCACTCTTTACATGCTGAATGACAGCCAGTACAAAACTCCCTCGGACAGTGGTTTGCTAGAGGCTGGAATGGCCAGTATGTCCTACCATACTGCAGAAGGCATGGCAGAGATGTCTGTAGACAACAATAAGACAGATGCTCCTTTGCTGTCTCTCAGTGGACACATTAATAGCCTGTGTCGATCCTTTAAGGTAATGCCACAAATACAATAACAACAATTTTTATTTTGTTCTCAAATTCTTTCAGGTGTCTTGTTACCTGTACAGCCTTAATTTATTGGTCATTTGAACAGATATGAAGATATTACAGTGTGACAACTTCTGCTTATAGGAAGTCCTTACTCCATCCAAGTCAAAGAATGTTCCTCAGCTGACTCCGGAAGAGAAAGTTTTGCTCCAGTGTGAGCAAGACAATGTGATATCATTTAGTAAATGTATTCCATCAAGGTAAATGTTGTGTTAAAAGTTTGATGTGAAATAATTTTTTTAATTTTGTTTACTGAGAAGTAAAATGTTATTAGAAGTGAGGTGGTTTTAGGATGTTTTGGAAGGTTATAAAAGTTGTTCTGTGTAGTTGGTTTAAGATCTTTTTTATTAGGTAAAGATATTTTGAACTGATAAATTTCTTCTGTTGATATCTTGCCAGTATGATGAACAAGTGTACGAAGATTGGAGAGGGAGTTTATGGAGAAGTTTTCAGAACTGTGGTTAATAAGAAATCTGTGGCATTAAAGGTACACTAGTAAGAGATTGTATCATGTTCATTGATATTACTTTCATGTTTCTATGTATAATTTTGAAAAGTGTATTTGGAATTATGTTTAAGTTGAAGAAAAGGATAACAAAAATTAATTTTAATCTGCAACTGTAAACGACATTATAACATGACAGAATATCAAAATAAGAAAATATTAATCACTTTTAGCTTAAAACAATACATTTTTAGTGACTTTATATCTGTGAAATAATATTTACAGATCATTCCTATTGAGGGTGATTTCCCTGTGAATGATGAACCACAGAAGACCTATGAAGAAATTTTACCAGAAATCATGATCTCAAGGTAAAGCAATTACTAAAGCACTGCATGGAATGGTTACGTTTAGAGTTTGATTATCAAACCATAACTTTACTCATTTTGTATTATTAGTAGTATGTTTTATTAGCTTTTGTTGAAATTTTTTAGAAATTAAAATTAAAAAAATTACCATCCATCTCACTCAAAAATATTTGAATCTTGAATCTGTGCCTTTTTTGTCTATGTAATGTCTGTATATGTGCCATCTTTGATATCTGGTTTATGCTCACTAGCCCTGCAGTTGTGATACAATAGAGAGGAAAAAACTAATTTTACAGTTATGTAACTTTTTCCAGAGAGCTGAGTGCAATGAAGGATAGCCAAAAAAGTTGTACTGAAAACTATGTGGAGGTTAGAAGGTAACAACAGAATACCTGACTGTAGTATTGATCAGATGACTCTGCCATAAAAACTCCAGAGCTCTGGAATAGTTTTTATTGACAATTTTTCTTCTTAAAATTAAGTCTGGGACACTGAAACTCAGCCAGCTGAGTTGTGTTTGACCAAAATCTTTAAGTTGTGTGTGTGTGTGTGTGTGTGTGTGTGTGTGTGTGTGTGTGTGTGTGTGTGAGAGAGAGAGAGAGAGAAGAGGGGGCTGATACCCCAAGTCTTGCAGTCAGTTATCTTATCTTAATCCAAATTTCAGGGTGTCCCTTGTGAAAGGCCAGTATCCTGCTGCTCTGCTTAAACAATGGGATATCTATGACAAAGCAAAACGCTCTGAGAATGACAGGCCAGGTAGAAATAAAGACTGAACAATGCCTCATTCATCAACATTCTTGTGCTTTTACTTTGTTTATCTTTGTGTTGACAGTGTATGTAAGATAGAGTGGCTTTCCACAGTAATTTTTCTACCCCAATCCTTCAGTTCAAGCAGTAGATGTTACCTGCCTTGACATTACCTTTTTAATGGGGGGTAGTTGGCCAGAGGTTGATTATGTCAACTTGCATAGAAAGGCTACATTTGATCAATTCTTGACCAAAATGTTATCATTTAAATGAAAATATTTCTTGGAAGCGTAACAGCTTAAATCCTCAACTTTGATTAGAAACTTGCCATTACCATTTAAAAGAAAGTAGCATATTTAATTTAATTTATTATTATTATTATTTTTAATTTAATTTATTTTTTTTTTTTAGACATATTTGGCAATAATCAGTTATTCATTGTGTTTGAATTTGCGGATGGAGGCTGTGCACTAGAGGGTTTCAAGGTTGGTATCAAGGTTGAAAGGTAGAAATAGTATATACCCTTTTTCCAACTTCTGTTGACACAAGCAATAACAACTTCATGTCAGAATAATGTGCATGTGATACTTTACCGTCTTTTCTCAATCCCAAACATGCTGATTGTATCTGAATCAAATTTCCGAAAAATGTGTACTTTTTGAAATCAAAATCACTTCCTTCCAGTTTGAGAGCATCTTGGAAGCCAAGAGTGTCCTGCACCAGGTTGTGTGTGCCTTGGCTGTGGCAGAGGCTGAGCTGGAGTTTGAACACAGGGATCTACACTGGGGGAATGTGCTGGTGAAAAGGACTAACCAGGAGACTCTACAGTATAAGCTGAATGGTGAACTTTGTGAGATCAAGGTGCATGGTGTTACTGTCAGCATTATAGATTTTACACTTTCCAGACTTAAGAAAGGTATGGGATTAATCTACAATGCCCTTGAGCATGGATCTTTGGTTTATGCTTATAACTGTGTCAATTTGTTTGATTCTAGAACTATGCAACTGTTTATGTTTGATCATTTTTTTCACCTGCATACAACAGAGTTGTATACCTCTTGTGAGTGAAAGAAAATTGCAATTTTTGAAGCACCAGCCATTATGTATTTGCATTTGTTCAATATTGCTGTTTGTAATTAACAATGGGGGTTAAACTCCCAAGCCAAAATAGTTACGTTGGAAATTTTGACATTTTCACACAGTACACTCATAGGCCCATATGCTGAGATGCATTAAATGAACCTTCTGATGGACACGCAAATCATAGTATTCAATACCTCAGCCAGGGACATATTTTATAGGCACATTTTGTGCAGAAAAAAAAAAGATGTAGTTACAATCCTTGCGTATACTATTTCTAGCATACTTTTTGTCTTTATGTTCAAAAAAGAGTGTTAAAACAACCATGTACTACTCTATATTCTTCTGGTAATTGCCCCCTAGAACATGTTCAGGTAAAAGTAAAAGCTGGGTTTGCAGCCTTATATGTTCAATAAACAAGATCACTCTGCTTCACAATTTGTGCTGGTAGGTCTGTTCAAAGCTGAAACAATCTCACCTCACTTTTGAACATATATAACCCATGCAGCAGTGGGACTCTCTGGTACTGTCCTCAATTATCACCACTACTGTGTACCATGACCAAGTCATGTGCTTCATCAGTATGTTATATTATGTTTTGAATTAAGTTGCATCTGTTTTGTTTTTCAGATGGCTGCACCATTTTCACAGACTTGTCTGTTGATAAGACATTGTTTGAAGGGGAGGGAGATTACCAGTTTGAAGTCTACAGGTTGATGAAGCAGGAAAACCAGTGAGTTTTCTCATATTCACCCATATTTAAGTGAAATTGTCATTTTCATGCCTTTGTGTTCTCCTTGGATTTCAACAGAGCTATGTGTAATTTGCCTCTTTTGTTGAAAACTGTGCCTTATACCAAAGACATAGATTATTTTATGGTTATCTTCATCTTAAGCAATAATGTTTTTCTACATGTTTCTACCCTGCAACTTAGATTTGATACTTTTATCTTATCTGTGCCATAAACTTTTCAGCTGATAAGCCATTAGGACCACCAGTTTCTGAAAAAACTGGTCTGAATCAAGATTCACTAGTTCAAATAAAATATACTGGACATTGTTCCTTATTGCAATAATATTAGTAATAAAAAGACCTTGACTTTGTCAAACTTTTAAAAAATTATTTAGAATCATGATGTCGAAGTTTCCAAAAATATTTAATCAAATCAAAATCTCTTTTGATAACATACAGAAAAAAATTGGATGGCTATGTCAAAACACTTTTCACACAATCTGAAGAATCTGTCTGTCCAAACAAAATTTTACCGGCCAGTGGCTAATGTTGCAGACTACTTTTATCAGTGTTTGATGGGGCATTGTATATTAATTTTACAGTTGAACATCATGAATGATATAATATGCAAATAACCTTTGTAATTCTATTCTATTGTATCATTATTACTTTGTTTTAGAGACAATTGGGAGCAGCACCATCCATTCACCAATGTCCTTTGGATCAACTACTTGACTGATAAACTGATACATGAAACTAGATACCCTGGCAATGATGCTCAGCACAGGGCTTTGCTCAGAGACATGAAGGCCTTTTACAAGGACATTCTAACATACAGGAGCGCTGTACACATGCTGACAGATTGCCAGTATTTGAAGTGTTGATATGTGCAGAGGGCAGCACTTCAAAGATTTTGCTTTCTCAAAAGATGTTTAATAAAACGTTGACAGTGGAAGAAGTAATTAGGCTTAATAATGCATTTTATTCATGAACAGTTCATACCGATGTTGTATGAAATGTTATCATCGATAGATCAGTGGTTATCATATTTTTTATTTACGTGTTTATTTATTGACCTTCGATGTTTTCAGCAAAAACTGAAATAGAGTTATTTGAAATAATCATTTTAACCTTAAAGAAAACTGAATCATTGTCATGTTTAAAATACTTGTGGAATATATGTATTAATGATAATAACACTTACAATTTAAATTTAGATAATAAAAGGAAAGAAAAAGAAAAATTGATTAAAACAAACTGTTATAGAATTGTTATTCCAGATAATTGAAAAAAAAATAAATAAATAAAAGAATGATGTGATTGTGTTATAGTTTTTTTAAGTGTTGTTAATTGGCAGCTTTTTTTAGGTACATACGAACTCCGCATCGGTGGAGCGTGGATTCCCAGTAACATGTAAATCACTTCTACTAGTTTCTTATACAACTCAAATAAATTTGACATGCCAAGGGATAAACTGAATAGATCACTCGATCAGTCATACAAGAGCTTTAGACTGCCCCTTTCTTTAAATTTTTGGTCGGAAATTTAACCTACTTTTGTGACCTACTTTTCTGCCCCACTGACATACAACATAGAATGCTAGCAGAAAAAACCTTTCAAACATCACTGTAGGGTAAAATTAAACAATGCCTTTTGGAAAATCTCTTAGTTATACTACTTGAAACTATATGCTGGCATTTGGTCAGTTTTTGTGGCAAAAAATTGACTTCCCTTATGAAAAAGTCCTATAGGATCCTATAAGATCCTATAGGATCCTATTGGAAATTGGGCCAATTTCCTATAGAATCCTATAGAATCCTATAGGATCTTATAGGATCCTATAGGACTTTTTCGTATGGGTTTGTATGCATCTTTAAATTAAGTGAACATGTTTTTTGCTAATTTCTCTGTGCCTCTTAATTGCACCGCCAGTGAGAGCACTGGAGTATTGACATGGTTTACTCTTCCCCCTCTCACCTGCTACCACATCTTGGACTACAAGGACCTGTGCCCTCATCTTGCTGAATTAGGTCATATGTCATTTTGACTGGAACCACCTGGAATTTTGGGCTTTATCTGTGCATTTGCATAGCTGTGGTACTTGTCCAAATGCAGAATTTTTCAAAATGAAAGTTTGAATTATCTAAAATAGAAGAGTGACAATTAAAATTGAATTGGAAATGTTGGTGATCCAAATGTGACCTTGAATTTGACCTGCCAAACCATATTTTTGTTTAAATTTATTTAGGGTCTTTGTAAAGGTTAAAAAATATCCTTTTTAACATCAAAGTTTTTTTTCTATTATTTTTTTAAATTATTAGTTGAGTGGCTATATTTAAAGGTAGGCCTCTTTCAAAAATGAGCACGATCAGCATATTAAAATTTATTGAGGGTCATTAATTTGTAAGGATTACACAAGGCAGCAAAGCTGTCAAATATACAGACAAAAAGCAGAAAATAATGATGCACAAAATGGGCTACTGCTTATTCCGATGCAATAATACATTATGCTTAACAGCAAGTCAACACCAAATTATAGTTGTGCACAATAGGCAATTCATATGTAAGTAAAATGTTTAACAAGCATAAGACCCATAAGAGTCCAAGTTCAGACTTTGAAAATGCCAGAAGGAGTAAAATGAATATTCATCAGATTTGATAATTTTAAAGTCAAAATGTAAAACAGTCTTCCACTTTTTGTGTCATCTCTATAGGTTCACGCTGCTGGTGACAATTTAATGAGGTTATTGGTCTTTGGAATGGTTTGTTGAAAATTCAAGAACTACAATTATAAAAAAAAGCAAATGTGATGTACAGATGTTGTTGCCAGTCTTGGTGTCTGTCTCCCCTGAGTCCTGACAGAGGCTCTTGGTGGCTGAACAGCGCCTGGGGATCTGCTGCTATCTATGGCAACCTTCCTTGAACTCCTGAAAATCAGAATGGCCATGACAATAAAAAACATTTGGGGTATTCTTTGGAGAATCAACATGAAAATAATTCATTTATAGTCTTGACTTTTATCTGAGGGTGTATATTCATGATTTGAAAAAGCAAATCTTTTTCAAACCATGTTAAGTTAAAAGAAAAAAAATTGCATAACATTAATAGCAGTGATAAAATCACAAGTGTGATATCTAACAGGCCCGTAGCCAGCAATTTCAAAAGGGGGGTTCTTTTTCTGAAGAAGTGGACCTTTTTCCATAAAAACTTCATGAACCTAGTTCAAATTTTACCCAGAGTGGACCTTTTCCCACCAGATGGGGTGGTTCTTTCGAACCCCCCGAACCCCCCCTGGCTACGGGCCTGTCTAACATTACAGAACAATTTAGCATAGAATTTTACCAGATGAGTTATGAACTTAGAATAAGTTTATATCAATTTGTATTAGTGGAATCAATTAGGAAGTTAAGCTTTAGTCAGGATCTTTTTCTATAGCAATGAAAACAATTTAAAGACTGTGCAATGGAAATGCCATTTTAAAGCAGGAATTCATCTAAACAAATTTTAAAGTGATAAAACAGAGAACAATGCTTATTGTTCTTATAAACTTACCTACATAAAAACCTACCCAACTAGAAAAGCACTCAGAGAGCGCAGACCTTCACCACGCCAGCAAATTTTTAATATTATTGATTATTGATTGATCACTGATCCGGATCCCCACCAAAAACTAATCATCTCTTCCTTGGCCTACTTCTGACAGTTCCTGAAAATTTCATCAAAATTGGTCCATAACTTTTTGAGTTATGTTGATGACAAACAACCAAACAGAGGTGAAAACATAACCTCCTGAATTGGCGGAGGTAATGATGGCAACATCATCTACACGTAGGTCTCTGAACTCGGTGCTAAAGAGGATCATCACACAGCCCTTCTTTTTATCCACACAATGATACCTACAGATTATATACCAATTCTTGAATTAATCATTGTTTTCATTTAAATAAGAAATGAATTGGGGGGAAACAATCCAACAATTTACTTAATATACACTTACAAAATAAATCATTATCAACTGCCACAATCAATTAATGAAATAACTTATTAATCATTTTTTTCTGCAAGATCTCATTTCTACACACTAATATTTAAATATGTTTAGTTAACAGTGAGGAGTTGTTTGTTTTACAGCGACATGATGCAATTTTGTATTTGTCAAAAGCTTCCATTTCTTCTGTTAACCACATGGTTTCCTCGTCTCACTTCCATCCTACCTCCCCTTTTTCTTAAATTTCAAGGTAGTTTTCAAATACAGATGGAAAGCAGTTACGCCCCCCAAGCCCTGCCTTTTTGACTACCACTGGCCATTCACAAGGAATATCTTCTTAATCATGGACTTATGAGACATTGTAGCCTGAAAATATATAAATGACTATGTTAAAATAATTACATTTAGCCAATTTTTTATAAAAAATAAAAGAAATAGAAATAGAAAGGGAAATACATCTTTAGAATTTACAAAGCAAAGATATCTGTTTGAATGTAGCAATGATGTGTGTGTGTGCGTGTGTGTGTGTTAGAATGCATTTGTGTGTGTGCGTGTAATAATAGAGTGTGTGTGTGTGTGTGTGTGTGTGTGTGTGTGTGTTTGTTTGGGCATGACTGTTTGTATTATTTCTGAAATCATATGAGTAAATTAATAATGAAAATATATTTTTCATGTCCATCTTCTAATAATCACCCAACTGTTTTAACTTACCCCCACCAGACTAAAGGCCACATGATTTAATGTCACTTTTTACTTGCATAGAAAGGCTACATTTTACAATAAATCAATTAGCTTTCTTTTTTTTCTGTAAAATATTCTCACAAGTCAATTTCTAACTGAGGCCAATCTAGCATACATGTATTTCCCAACTTTTCAAACAAACTTATTTCCACCAAATAGATACAAAGGGGCCGTAGCGATAGTCCGAAGGTTCAATAGTCCGAAGGTTCATTGGTCCGAATGTTCACTATAGAACCTTCGGACCAATGAACCCTTGATTAAAAAATCGATAAAAACGTTACCACTTTTCGGACCAATGAACCTTCGGACTATCGAGACGCCCCCGATACAAAAAGTGCTGATGGAACGCATTTGATGTGGGCCAGACTCCCCGACCCCTGCTCATGGCTGACTTAGTTGATTGTGGGCGAGCCCCCCCCCCCCCCCCCCTTGTCTCGCCCCACATCCCTCTCCTACGCCTGTGTATAGATTGTTGGCTGGTTCATCTTCTGCCGGGAGTTGAATAGTTGGTCAACAAATTTTTCAGGAGAGACAGATGGCTTACGGAGGGGTCATGTTGTCTGCAAAGTGCCACACGGTGAAACTGAAAAAAGGGGCTATTTTTACACTTTTCTAAAAGTTTGTATTAGATTCTGATTATAGCAGCTCCACGCTCTCTTTATATATTTTGTGTTAAACTGATACTTCTCTCATTCGTCGGTCTCCCCCTGAAATGTTCCACTCCAGAAAAAATCAATAATGCTATGGGAGAATTGTACAGGCAATTGACCTACATTCTCCACTGCAGTTATTGGCGCTAGTTTAACGTTATGACTTGGCCGTGAAAACCTGATTCACGCCTGTGATGTGAAGGTTTATAATTTATATAAATGAATTAAGTAACAGGGTATGTTGATCAAATGATTGGAATTTATGACTGTAATGGGACATTGTTGTTTACAAAAATAAAAGAAAATCTGTATACAACTCAAAAACAGAAAAAAAATTTTTTTCTCTTATATGCAAATTAGATTGCTTGTAGTTAATATAAGGCTGTCCGGAAGTGATGTCCACATCATGGATTTCAAATATTAGTGATCTTGATCACCTAAGGCATCTTAATTTTTATTATTTGATTAATATATATATTTGAAACTGCCAAATTTTCCCCGGGAAGTAAAATAATTTTCTTCTTATTATAAATCATTGCTCGACCCGCCTATGTGTTCCAGTGAAGAGGCAAAGTTGACTTTTACAGGCATATACTGTAGATAACTCATAATCCAGTGCTTTTTTGCTTCATTTTTCATGTTCATGTTTTAGGTGTTTTCTAATGTATGGGATGAAAAGAAAAGTATTCTGAGAATTTTTTTTTTTATTTAGGGGGGGGGGGGGGGGGGGGTCAAGGGGAGCCGTAGCAATAGTGCGAAAGTTCAATAGTCCGAAGGTTCATTGGTCCGAATGTTCACTATAGAACCTTCGGACGAATGAGAACCTTGATTAAAAAAACGATGAAAGTGTTACCGTTTTTCGGACCAATGCACCTTCGGACAATCGAGACGCCCCCGGTCAAGGGGCTTGGAAGGCTTGCAAAGGTAGGCACTAGAAAGTTGGTTATTCCAGCGCTTGTGGTACTCTTCTAGAAGCCGACTAAAAGAAAATGCTGATCAATTTCAAGGGTAGTGCCCAAAATTTCAAAGGGTTCCCAGACAGCCTCAGTAATCTGGCCCATGCCAGATGTTGCCAGATCTGGGCCAGACGTGGGCCAGATTACTGAGGCTGTCTGGGTTGCTTAGCAACCGTTGCTAAGGAAGTGATTAACCTTAGTAACAAGCTAATTGGACCTTTCTTGTTCAGTTTAAATGATTTAAAAGGGCTTTTAATAATGTTTAAAGCAATCAGAACTATCACTATACTATTTTAAGCCATTAAAAGCCCAAATAAACCATTGCAACAGTTGCTAGACAGCATATTACCCTAGCAACAAGTATTTAATAATATATATTTAATAATATATATACAGATATCTCTGTAGCATTTTACATATCCTCTAGTTCCTTCCCATCTTTTTGTTCGCATTCTACATAAACTAACATTTCATTTGTTTGTTAGTTATTAATTAATAATAATTAAGATAGGTACATAAATATTGTATCCTTGCACAAACCCAAACACAAACATCTCCGAAGATCTATCAATGACCACACCTAAATTATCTTTAGTAGGGCAAATGATGCACGTCCAAACATTTTTTACTTGAGGGCAATCCTAAAAAAACGTACAGAATATTTTCCCTAGCAGTATTGCAAAATTCACAAATTCGTAAGATAAGCATAAGTATTGAATATTCTATGATTAATTATTAATTTTGAATTGGAGCGACTTCAGTTTCGTGTGATCTGTTTCTTAAACGTTAGTTTCCAATATTAATACTCAAGTTTTTTTTTTTTTTTTTTTTTTTTTTTTTGTCTGCCATTCACCTACACCTTTATCTGATGATATTATATGGCTTTGGAAGATTTTTTTGTGAAAAATATCTGGATGGTTTGGTTACTTGTTTAATCGAGTCAACTATTTCTTGGAATGCTATGTGTAATTTCCATTCAGATGGTAAGCTCTTTTGGATACTGAATTAGCCCAGAAAGTGAGTGTAGGTTGATTTCTTGTTGAGTTCCTCTAGAGAGAGGGGATTTCGAATGTCATTTATAATACCATTGATGTAAAATAAACCATTTTACACCATCTTTTATGGAAAAAGTTTTTCCATTTCTTTCAATTTTTGAGTTTTGACATAATGGTTGTGATAGGATTTCATCTAGGGTTAAACTGGGATATTCCCGAATTTCACTGAAAGAACCAATAATTGCCTAAAGGGATTAGAAGTTACTTTTAGTATTTTTAATCCACCTTTTGTTACTACCGATTCCTGACATTTCACCAAGAAAAACGCTTTCCACCTACTGTTCTTTTCATCATAAAGAAGTCTTTTAAACCATGTAAATTTTAGGGCCTTGGTAAAAATTTTATTTATGGTACCTTTTACCGTCCATTTTTGTAATCAGACGTCATGCTTGCTCATTGTATTTTGTATCTTTTCCCATTCCTGATAAAGTTAAGTGTGATATGCATATTTTTCTTTAAGTATTGAGGGAGGGGGCTGGCAGGAGAGTTTATATATGCACTAAGATGAGAAATACTAAAGGTTTAACCACTGCTGACTTTCCTATTATTGAAAGGTTTCTCAGAGATCAGATTTCCAAGATAATTTTCATTTTTTTCAATATTTTCTAAAAAGCTTTTTCATATTATTTTTTATCAGTTTCTTTTCTCTACCAAGTAACTAAAATACACCTTCATGGTTCTATTTTAATTCTTTTTGTTAATTAATGAAGTTCAAAGGTTTCTGTTCACACCCAAAGGCCGTTCTAGATGCCATATCTTACTTCCACCAAGGCTGCTCTACAACAATATAAAAGAAGAGTAATCTTGCGAGATGAACATATCTAAATCAGCACTACGGTGCCATGTCATCAGATATCATGTGCTCATTCTGGTTGGACTTGTACGGAACTGTGGACCCTTGTGGACACATTTGCCAGAAGCTATTGTTCTGCCCAGAGTTGCTGCAATGTGCATGTAGGTGCAGATGTAGAGGCTGACAATGTGCAAGGGCAAAATGCACTGTGTATTGCAAATAGCTCCTGCTTTTAAAATTCTCAGAGAAAGCGCCTTTCGCCCAACAAGTAAAGTTAATAGGCTGCAAGTCCGAGTAGGATTGAACTGACCTGAACCTTAGTTCATGTTGTAGAATAAACCCATTGTTAACTTTACTGTGGAGTTATCTTATTCTCTAGCAGGTAGCACAGCAGTACAAAACAGTTTGCGTGGGATATTTAGGATATTCCAAAGAGCAAACATTATTTAGTTGTTATAGCACCATTTATTTTAATTTCCGCGCGACGTTCACGCCTACACATGAGTTCTTCCCCTCTTTAATACAAAGCCGAATCTGCCAGTTTTAGTTTTATCTATCTATCTATCTATATAAATATTCACTGAGCACGCTAAGAAAACCAGTTGGAGCAAAATGTATGGTTTAGGCTTCCTACCATGACAGCAATTACGATTGAGCTTATAATGCTAATAAAAGGCGTGTCTAAAGAGCTGGTAAAAACAGTTTCAGTCTACTTTCAAAATATCATACCATTATTCTTAACTTCCTAAAGGTTCAAGATCTAATGAGCGCAAGGCGGTTTCAGAGGTAGCGTCGGATCGGGGTGTTGTTCATAGCCGATTAGTAGGTCTGCAGACGAAAAATAAACAGGTGTTTTCGTTTCCAGTAGGGGCCGTATCAAAATGGCAAATTCATATTGCGTTATGAATAGGTAATTAATAAGTATGCAGTGTTAATTAAAAGAACGTCCACTGCAAGAACTGAAAAATCTTTTGTTTTATTTTGATTAATAATTTCGTTAGTCAAACTGTAAAATAAACAACCATCTGATCTCTGAATACAGTATATGGATATTGCTTCAAAATGGCGGCATGGCTGTGGTGTTTCGTCTCCTGGAGTGCAGTTGCGGTAGTACTAGTGCAAGGTGGAGAGTAAGTAGTTTTACTCTATAGTTCACTGATAGTTTGTTTTATGTGGCTCGATATAAACGCATGGAACGCAATGTCCGTGCAATGCAAGTCTGGAGTTGGCTTCTAAATCCTTCACTTATTCACAAACCAAGCTACAGACTACAGTGTATATATACAATGCGAAGTTCAAATGCTTGAACGTTACTATGAGGTACCGAGTACATGTAGTGTGTTAAATGCCAATTGCCTTTTTGATAATTTCTTCACTTTTTGACAGGATATGAATGAAATCTCTTTTCCAATAGCAGACTTGTAACGGCATCTTTCTCTTCCACCACCTAAGATTTCTCATATAACAGTAACTATTTTGTTTGTTTGGCTCTTTTACTTCTCGGAAAATCGCACTTTCAAGGACATATACAGGTTTTATCATTTTTCCTTTCTTTTCAGTATACGTTCCCTTTATGCAGATTTATTTCGAAACTACTTCAAGGATGTCCGCCCCTCAAACACTGCATCAGAGCCGGCTGAGGTTACAATGAGTCTGGGTCTCCGCAGCATCGATTTTGATCCTAAGAAGGGGGCACTTAAAATAAACGCGTTGTTAAAATTGGTATGTTTCTTTTAAACTAAAGCAATCCTTTTTTATTATTTCCAAGACCAATCCAAGCAATCAATAAATTTATATATAGAACCAGTTGAATCTAGTGTATTGCTGGCTTTTCAAACAGATAGGGCTCATATAGCTCACACCAAAGTTTGACGAGTCTAAGGGCTAAAGTTTTACCTCATTATTTCATGAGGCTCACAAGTATGCAGTGGCCTATGTCCTTAGATTATACAGTGCATTGAATTCAAAATGCTTCTTTTATTTTTATTGACTGCATTTATTTATTTATTAAGACCTGGATTGACTACAGATTACGGTGGTATCCACCATCTTACAAAAATGCCGATACAATTTATGTGAACGCAGACAAGTTATGGTTACCAGACATCGTACTGTACAACGCGTGAGTGTTTGATGCTACATCTATACTGTATATGTGAGACACGTAGATCTTGCACAGGGTGCTTGCTACAGTAATTTATTTTCCTCCCAAGGATTTTCTCTGTAAGTTTATAGGAGTATTAAAAACGACAGGAGGTATCTTGGAGGATTCGTTTTGCCCTTTGAATAGTAAAAGATTATATATTTGAAGAGGTGTTTGACATTTGTAGGCTTTGTGAAAGAAAGTTATGGTACAATTTATGACATACTGTAGTAGCACGAAAGCACATCTCTTTTTATTTTCATTTATTATTATTTCGCGAGCATTCTTTTATTTGAAATGTTAACAATAATTCAGACAAATGAAGACGTATATCAGCTTATACTTCATCAGACATGATGTTATCACTTTTTATATCCTCTCTTTTCATGGCCCACAAAAACTTCCAAATAGCTAGGTTTTTTATTCCGTGCCTCGGAATTTATAGCTTGAAAATAACATTTTCTATCTTCTGACGTTTGAATCATGGCAAGTTCTGTTTATTTTGTTTTTTATTTTTACTTGCAAAATAAATCTGCCATCGAATCTGTGATCCCCCGATTTCTTTTTTAGAATGGCTCCAACAAGAGATGTAGTGAATGCTCTTGCCACGGTTTCACATGATGGACACGTGGTTTACAAGTCCAGCAAAATATACAGGTATCGAGAATAGTAGTTCAGAACTGTAGCAAGTGGAATTTAATGGAACATTTTGTAGTATAGATTGATTCTACCAATATATGTATAGGCCCAACAGTATAAATTTCAAAATTCATTTTGACAAAATTTCATGAAGTTAGTGTCTCATGTTAAATGTATGTTAGAGCAAAATAAAATTTTGTAGAATCATAATAATTGGTGTTTTATTGTGTTTTACATTTCAAGTCTACGGCTATTTTTTTAGTTTGATAAGCTCGGGCAGATATTAAGCCAAACATTTCTTCTTCCAATTTAAGTGCTATTTGTGATGCTGCATCTCCCTCCACTGTCCACCAATGCAATCTAAAATTTGGGTCCTGGATATACAGTGGCGATGAGCTTGACCTTGTGCTGGACGACATGGACAAAAACCAAACCTTCCCTTACTTGGACACTACTGACTACGTGGAAAGTCACTTCCTGGAACTGATCAGTACCAACGCAACGCGGGTAGTAATGTACTATGCCTGTTGCCCGGAACCTTATGTCGATGTCCAACATAGGCTCAATCTTCGTGTCAAAGACGAAAAATAATAACTTTTTTGCCAAAACCAAAAAAGATAACTTGACTGACAAAACAAAAGAGTCTATTTCTTAAATACTTGAGGAAAATATTGACCGTACCTTAAGGAAAATTGCTGCTGTAATGCGCTTAGCAAAGATTTGTATTGTAATGTGGGTCTCGCTCGTCTCGTCGTTTAGTGGCGTGTAGTCAACACTGCTATATATCTTCTCTTTAAGAAATAAATACTGCAGTGGCTTTTATGTAAGTCATTACTTGACGATACTAGACGGGTGGGTAATATGGCTGACGACAAGATTTATACCCTGGCAGTTGGAATATAAAGGAAAGCCTAGTAATGATAATCGTCGTACATCTTACGCAATAAAAAGTTCCTCTGTGAAGTGCATTCAGTTATCAACGTTAGTTCAATAAGCAACAGTTTATATGATTATTTAATAAAAGGATTTAATAAAAGGAATATTGCAAATGTAATGCTCAACCAAGGCTTGCTAAACCCTCTGAAATTGTTGGTCTACGCCTGTATTTTTCCTGATAAAATGAACTTATTTAATAATGTTTGGTTAAACAACAATTAGACTAACCAAATTACATCAGCAATTTGCAGAGACCAAACAAGCAGTAAATTTTATTTGGCCATGCGCAAACACGATGTATGTCAAGTTATATGTAAACCTAAGGTCCATTTTTTATTTTGCATACATACAGAGAGAGAGAGAGAGTGAGAGAGAGAGAGGAGAAACGAAAATGGGTGCTGATTGGTCTCTGCAGTGTTTTAAAAGCATGAGTATAAGCATAAGCATAAGTATAAAATACATTTTCATTTCGTAAGAGTTGTGTTGGCAAAGTACAGAGAACATTTTACAGCTTGCGTAGTCGAGAATAAAAAATAGGTCAAGGTTACTTAGTTGATAAAAATAACATCTTTTTTGCCCAATATATAAAATAGTCTTACAGGTGTGGCTTATACTAGAAAACTGCCATAACCAGCAGGTGAAGGGTAAAGGTACTGTATATTTTGAATAAAGGTTTAAGCATGATATAGACCTTCTAACATGCCTAAACAGCTTCTACAGGAGGCAACAGCAAAAATTTATTATCTTCTGTTTATAATAATAATAAAAAAAACAGCTGGACGAGTGTAAATCTCTCTCTAAAAAAAAAGAAAGAACGGAAACGGCGCATTTCACAAATACTCGGCCAGTATAGATAAACCTAGTTTAACACATACAGTATATATTACAAAAAACCACTGCATTGAAAAGAATCTCTTGACATTCAACTTGTAGCTTAACTGTTTCCAAATTCCACAACCAATATATATATATATATATATATATATATATATATATATATATATATATTTACCGAACTCAACCCATAAATCGCATGCCATACGTATACCGCCCCTTTCTCATTAGCGTAGAATTGATCTCGCAAGATGGCGACCTGGGGAACCACTATGCTGCTAAATCTGCTCTTTATCCATTGCATGACAGTATGGGCGCTCGTCCTAGCTCAAGGAGCAGTGTGAGTATTAATTCTTTCACACAGGAGCTGCAACACTTTGAACATTCTTAAACAGCAAGGTTTTGCTGAAACAAAAGCATATTTTGTCCAGAAAGTAGATGATATGCCTTAATCTAATCGATCTCGGGAGATCGTGTGCAATAACCTTTTCGAGCTCGTGTGTTATTCATTGGGTAATATCAGTCAGTGATCAGTTATCACACACACACACACACACACAAGTAGTATCAGATATATTGCTTTCCCGCTATGTTTTTAGATCTACTAAATATATATGCTCATGCACGTATCGTAATGCATGGCTTACGAAAAAATTCAAGGCTGGTCACCACCTATAAATAAAAGTATTGTTGTTTTGCTCTTTCTGCTGGCATTTATTGCTTAGAACTCGATGGAAAAACCAGACGAAACGTTGACCACCATGGGGAATAAAGTATAGGACCTACTATATTTTATATCCTCATTATTCTGTGTTTCAGTGAGGCAAGACTCCAAGACTCGCTGTTCCGGGGTTATTCTAAGGATGTCATTCCATCGGAAAACCCGGAGGCTCCACTTCAAGTTACACTGAGTTTAAAACTGATAAAGATCCTGGATTTCGACGTGAAAAGACAGTACATTTCCTTTGTAGCATGGCAAACAATGGTAGTTGATTTTCCCGTTTCTTGTAAAAATCGATGTGTTCATAAGATAATAGGAGAACTCAGTAGACTGCAAATACTATTGCATGTACATAAAGAGTATTTCTCCACTTCTCACCATGCGAAAAATGAAAATACGGTACAATTTGGGGCATTTTCAGCTATCGCAGGCCTCAGTTCAGGTGTGGTTTATAAAATCCGCCAAATTGACGCAAATTGCAAATTGCAAAAAAATAAAAATAAATAAAAATAAATAAATAAATAAATAAAATAGATAAATAAATAAATAAATAAACTAGTTTCGTCAAGGCTTTGTATCAACTCCTTGGTTATATCAAGAATTGAACAGTGCAATTTTAGCATCTACACAATTCATTACGTAATCTCAGTCAGCATACTCACATACCCCTAGCTGATATCTAATTTACCAAATTGCTAATTGAGACGAAGTATTTTTTTATTTCAGATGTGGAAAGCTGACAATCTTCAATGGACTCCAGCCTCTTTCAATGACGTACGCAGCATTGTCGTGGCGGCCTCTAAAATATGGGTGCCGGATATTCAGCTGATGAACGCGTGAGTGAAACTTAAAACTTGGCACCGTTTCTCAACATAACAAGACGTATGTTAGCTTTCTGCCATTTAATCAAGAGAACATTCCGTTGCTGTAGGTGTTTCCTAGTGTTTGGCGGCGATGAGTACTCTGTACCAGCATGGCAGCGTTGTTTGATGTCTTTTCCCCACCTGGCAAGATTATCGTCATGTAATGATACACATATTTCACCTTTATACTAAAAATGACGGCCTAAAATTGTTTTCTTTATTTCTTTTAAATCTCAGAGCTGCATCTACGGAAGATATCATGACTCATGCAAATGTTCGACTGTCCAACAATGGCAAAGCCTTTTATGTTCCGTCTAAGAAATACACGTAAGTGATTTTTTTCGTTCGGTATCAGTATTCTTTAACCGAGGCCCCTCCAGCTGTTACAAAACAGATTTGTAGAGAGTACCATATCAGTGCTTGCAACCCTACTGCTGGGGCGATAATTTACTGATCCAAGTGACCACTGTAAAAGTGTTGCAAGCCAGTGTCAGACGAGTATGCGGGATTTTTATACAGATCTTATATACGGATTTGGCGTTTCCAAACTCGAGTCTCAGGGACCATTACCACAGATATTTGGATTTATCTAACTCCTGGGGGGGGGGGGGGGGTGTCTCACTAAATTTAGGAGACCCCCAGGGAGTTAGACCGATCCAGATAGATTATCGTTTATTATTATTGTGTCTCGTCTACTTGCAGTTAATCACTGCATATCGTAGCACCTTTCTCTTATTTATTTATTTATTTTAATGAAAATAATTATTTCTTTCGATTTTTTTGTTTATTATTTATCTGTTTATATATTATATAATATATATTATTATTATGCAAATTTCAGAGCTAGCTGCGCCACAGATCTTAATGACGAGGTTCACGAGTGTAACCTGAAGTTCGCGTCCTGGGTTTATCCCGGCGACCAGCTGGACTTGGTCGGGGAGGACCTCGACCTGACCGAATATAGCGCTGATATGGAATGGAAATTGCTGAACGCCACGACGGTGCGTAACGCTAATAAAACTATCCCTGACATAACCTACACGCTCAGGCTAAGCAGGGATCGTTCAGCAGGTAAGGCGAGATACGAATGAAAGACATTTGTTAAGATAGGCTTTTCTCTGAACACCCAAACCCAGTATAGAGGTGCAAATGATGTCATAGGCATGCTCTTAAAAATATATTCAGTGTACAGATTCCACACTATGTTTGATTATTTAAGGTCCCACAACTTGTATCAGAGTTTCACTCTCCTGGTACCATGAACAATAAAAAACAATCCATCGTCTAGCCCCACAAAAGGAACATACGTTACTGTCTCAAATGCAGCTGTGAACGGTTTACTCACTTTGAAAATTCAGTCATCACTGGTTTTGTTCTTTGATTTGTCTCCTACAAGTAAAACGTTGTAAAAATCATGATAATCTTCTGTATAGAGCAGTTGTTTTTGTTAATTGTTTTTGAGCGACTTGGGTTTGCTTGTCACTGAATGTTAAAAAAACGGGGAAAATACACCCTACCGACAGTAAAATAAGCGTTAAATAAACTACGTATTTTCCATTCGTGGTCCAAATATTGTATCAGAAATACCAAACTGGAATCAATATAAATTTTCAGTCAGCAACAAAATCCCCGTTTCCTATTGCACCAAGTACTTGGGTAAGCTGAAACTTTCTGACAATTTGTCTGGGGAACATACGTCACATAGTATAAACCATGACGCAAAGCCCTTCGAGTTACAGTTGAAATATGTATAAAACATCCTTACGTTATGTATAATTTACCTTGACTGAATCACTAAAACATATATCGGAACGCAATATAAAAAAAATTAATCAAATGACCCGGAATAAAGACATGGTAAAAATTAAAAATTAAATTAAAATCATCAGTCGAGGATTTTTGTTCTATACACACATATGCTTTAAAATTGAATACAACTGTATTCATTCAATTTTACTTTTTGGACACTTCAGCATGTGAAATGCACCTGTGTATTAGGTTTGGCTGTGAAATGAAATATTTTATAATAGCAAAATTTATTTTAAAAGAATATATTACCGTGTTTATTACGGATATGTTACAACAAAACACTGTCTTCTTTACTTTGTGCAGATACAAAAGGGAATTTACGAAATATATTGTTTGCAATACAAGACAAAAACACGAGAAAGTTTTTGATTAATTATAAATTCTGAACATAAACATTTGCATGAGATACGAAAAATTGGTTTTTGGATGTCATGCTTATTTTAAAAGCGTTATTTAGTGGGCTGCGAGTTGGACCTATTACAAAATATATTGTGACCTTTCTCTCTGTACATTTTTCTTCCTAAGTATACCGACCACTTGCCATTTCAAGAACTTGAGATCGATAGCTATAGGACATATACAAAACAGGGGCGGATTTAGGCCGTCTTCTGGGTCTTCCGGAAGACGGTCAGATTTTCAAGTTTATATTGACGCGTATCTTATTTTTTCTGTCAGAAGACGGTAAAAAATAGGGGATGGATCAACAAAGATAATTCGGAAGACTGACAGAAAATACATCGCGATCCGCCCCTGCAAAACATTGGCAGTCATAATGCAGAATATTTTTCTCTCAATTTTAGACGCTGGACCCGTAAGCTTAGG